AAAAAAAGATGATGGGAGGGTTGGGACCAGGGAGATAGCTCAATAGAATAAGAGCTTGCCTGGCAAGCACAGAGTCCTGAGTTCAATCCCTGGTATGAAAAAAAAAAAAAAAAAAGATGAGGGAAATTAACAATGGTTGTTATGTTCAAAGTAGTTGCTCAGATTAGCATATATAGGCATGCAGAGTTAAGCATTAACTGTTCCTAAGGCCCATCAGATAGCTCAGCGGATTAAAGTGTCTACATAGGCAGAGCACAGAGGCCAGGGTTGGATCCCCAGCAAGCCGGGCCAGCCCCACCCCCTGTGGGCTGGGGAGATAGCTTCAGTGGTCTAAGCACCTGCCTGGAAGCACAAGGACCTGGGTTTGATCCTTTGTTGTTTTTGGCAAAACCAGGGATTGAACTCATACCCTTGTGCTTCCAGGGAAGTGCTTATTCTACTGAGCTATCTCCCTGGCCCCTAAATACAGACTGGGGGGAAGACAGGGTCAGAGATGTTCCCCAAGGTCACTCTGTGTGACCCATTCCTCCAATGAGGTCCCATCCTTTTTTTTTTTTTTTTTTTTTGAACTGGGGATTGAATTCAGGCCCTTGTGCTTGCCAGGGAAGCACTTATTCCACTGAGCCATCTCCTCGGCCCTGGGTTTGATCCTTTGTAGCACATGTGGGCCTGCACCGCTGAGCCCGCCACATAAACCAGGCATGGTGGTACACACCTGTAATCCCAGCGTGAGGGAGGCTGAGACAAGAGGATCACGAGTCCAAGCTGTGTAGTGAGACCTTGTACGAAATGAATAAGTAAAAGATTAAAAAATTAAAAATAGCTCTTTCCACCCTCTTTCTGTGCTGCATAATGATGTGCATGTCCCGGCTGATCCTCTCAAGACCAACAATGCCGAAAACAGAGGCAAACGCCTGGTCCTCCTTAGGCCATGCTCCAAAGTCGTTGTCCAGTTTCTTTCTTTCTTTTTTTTTTTCCTCGCAGAACCAGGGATTGAACTCAGGTCCTTGCACTTGCCAGGGAAGTGCTTATTCCACTGAGCCATCTCCCCAGCCCGGCCCTGTTATCCAGTTTCTAACTGTGATGATGAAGTGTGGTTACATTGGTGAATTTGAAATCATTGGTGATCACAGGGCTGGGAAAATTGTTGTAAACCTCACAGGCAGGTTAAACAAGCGTGGTATGATCAGCCCCCGGTTTGATGTACAGCTGAAAGACCTGGAAAAACGGCAGAATAACCTGCTCTCATCTCGTCAGCTTGGTTTCATTGTGCTGACAACCTTAGTGGGCATCATGGATCATGAAGAAGCGCGACGAAAACACACAGGAGAAAAAGTCCTGGGATTCTTTTTCTAAGGCTGCAAAACATACACATACCTCTCCCTTTCCCTCTCCCTCAGCGGGAAAAAAAAATTAAAAATAAACTTTGCAGGTGTAACATCATATCATAACGATATATGTGCACCTGTGCTTTATTTGTTTGTTTGTTTGTATTTTAGTACACGGTCTACAAGGGCTACAGGGTCTCACTACGTAGATCGGACTCGTAGTGATCCGCCTGTGTTCAGCCTCCCAAGAACTGGGATTACAGCTGTGCGCCACCACACCCAGTCTCAATTGCTGTCTCAGCATGCTCCAGGGTTGGGGACGGGGCCAGCACGGCATGCCGGGTATTGAACCCCAGCTGCTGAGGCTGCCTGAGCAGGTGCTTTAGTCTGCTGAGTAATATTTGGCTGGCCCTGCACCTGTGTTTATAGCAGTACAATTTGTCACAGCAAAATCTTGGAAATAACCCAAATACCTATCTTTTTTTTTTTCTTTTTAAATTTATTTATTTATTTGTGTGTGTGTGTGTGTGTGTGTGTGTGGCCAGCTCAGCCCACCAGGGGGCAGGGCTGGCTGGCATGTGGTGCTGGGGGATTGAACCGCGGTCCCTTTGCTTTGCTAAGTTTGTTCTAAGTAGGTGCTTTAGACCACTGAGCCATCTCACCAGCCCCCCAAATACCTATCAACTGAGGAATGGATAAAAAGTTATAGATTTATACAATGGAGTATTACTCAGTGATAAAGAAGGACAAACTATAAAACGGACAAACTTGAGAATTCTGTAAGTAAATGGATGCAACTAGAGACTATGCTCATAAGTGAAATAAATCAGACCCTCGTGTGTAAACATTGTATTGTCTCCTTACTGTAAGAGACTGGAAGAATAAATAAGATCCAAAATGTACAATACATACTGTGAAATTGCTCAAAACAATTGAACAACTGGGATGGGAGTAAGAAGAAAAGAAGGAAAGAAGGGGCCTGTCCCTTAGCTCAGTTCTTAGGCTGGGGAGATGGCTCAGTGGAATAAGTGCTTCCCTGGCAAGCACAAGGGCCTGAGTTCAATCCCCAGTTCCACAAAAAAAAAAAAAAAAAAAAAAAGAAGAAGAAGGAAAGGAAAAGTATATACACATAGCTAAGATAATTGTAGCACTAGTTCATTGGAAGAAATAGTTGGTGCTTATATTGTTTGATAAAACTTGCATGCCTGTATCTTGTAATTTGAGCAACTACTTTTTCTGAGCAAGTACTTTGAATAATAACCATTGTTAATTTCCTATTATCTTGCTTTGAATTTATTTATTTATTTATTTATGCAGTACTGGGGATTGAACTCCAGACTTTGCACTTGCCAGGCAAGGGCTAATGCCACTGAGCTATTTCCTTGGCTTTGTTTTTGTCTTTTTGAGACAAGGTCTTACTATGCAGTTCAGGCTGGCCTTGAGCTCACTTGTTGCCCAGGCTGGTTTTGAACTTGCAATGATCCTCCTGCCTCAGCCTCCTGAATGATGGGATTACAGGTATGTGCCACCATGCCTGGCCTGTTTTGAAATTCTGTATCATTGTTTTGATTGCATTTTTCTCTTTTTTAAAGAAATTTTATTTATGTGTGTGTGTGTGTGTGTGGCCAGCTTAGCCCACCAGGGGGCGGGGCTGGCAGGCTTGTGGTGCTGGGGGATTGAACCGCGGTGTCTGTGCTTTGCTAAGCTTGTTCTAAGTAGGTGCTTTAGACCACTGAGCCATCTCACCAGCCCCTGCATTTTTCTCTTTAAAATAAAAGATAGGGGGCGCTCGCCGGAGCCTGTTCGCGTCGACTGACCAGAGTCCGCGAATTCTCCGCTGCAAGCCCCTCTGCACCGCCCAGACCTCAGTTTCTATTCTTTGAAAACACTAAGAATATGTCCCTGCACCAGTTTTTACTAGAGCCAATCACCTGCCATGCCTGGAACAGGGACCGTACCCAGATTGCCCTTAGTCCCAATAATCACGAAGTTCACA